GTGTGTGTGTGTGTGTGTGTGTGTGTGTGTGTGTGTGTGTGTGTGTGTGTGTGTGTGTGTGTGTGTGTGTGTGTGTGTGTGTGTGTGTGCAAGCTGTTTAGTAACATACTCGTACTCAAATGAGTGTGTGCACCTCTGCATCAATCCCGTGAAGCTCAAAAGGCGCTATATAAGCAACACTTGTTGGGACTGTGTGTGTGTGTGTGTGTGTGTGTGTGTGTGTGTGTGTGTGTGTGTGTGTGTGTGTGTGTGTGTGTGTGTGTGTGTGTGTGTGTGTGTGTGTGTGTGTGTGTGTGTGTGTGTGTGTGTGTGTGTACTCATGTGAAATGCCTTGTAGGTATTGGTACAGTGTTGTTTGCCAATCAATACCTATGTCACCATGTGCTGGGTTGATATGTGTGCCACAGTTCGACATATTTTAAAGGGTCAATTCACTCTGATTGTAAAATTCAATACAATCTAGCCATTCAGGAAGTGTGTGTTTTACATAATAGTTTACATCCATTCAAATCCTCCAACATCCATTTGAAAAGTTCTCATGGGGACTATTTATTTGGAAGTAAATTTGTCCAATAAAAACGGTTCACATTTTGATAGTCAAGACTGACTGAGGCAATGTTTCTGTTTTCCGTTTTCTGTTTAAAGATCAAACAACTTTCTTATTCACCTCGATTATACTTGAGTGAAGACAGAAAGGTTTCAAAACCTTGGCAAATAAAATCAAAACTATTTAGCCTAGATTATTTTGTTGCAATTGTTCTGTCCTGACCCTTTAAATCACAACCTACCCCAGAGCAATCACCCTGTCTCTATATCAGTCTACCTTTTGTTTCACTCTTCTCTGTTTTCTAAAACGTACCACTGCTGACTGAAAGCTTAAAGCCATAACTTTCATTTGACATGAAATGAAAGGTTTACTTTTAAAAAGAAAATGTTTCAGTACTCACTTGCCCAGATCACATCAGAGTAAAGTTTATTGACACGTTGGTTTACACATACAAGGAATTTGTATCACATATGAGTAGAAAAAATTATTTATTATGTTATATTATATATAATATTATACAACAGAACGTACTGCAACTTGCTTTTCTTGATGCAACTCTTACACAATCCATCCATCCATTTATCATCATCATCATCATTATCCTCCCACAACAAAGTGTCACACATCCTACTCATGTAGCTGTTTGACACTTTACCAGGCTTTTCCTTTAAAAACTGTTATTAGGTTCCTGAAAGTTCATATGAGCGGCGCACATCATTGTTTATATCGCACAAGCTGCAGTTTAGAGCATCCCACTTCCTTCATCTTCTTCTCATCCTCTCCTACATTCATCACCTCCTCCACATTTTCCTCATCCCGGCCTTCTTCTCTCACTTCATCAGTCTACCTCGCTCTCTCATTCTGCCTCCTTCTCTCTCTGTTTTAACATTCACGTTCCATCACCTGCCCGTGTGTCATGCCTACACTCCGCATGCTAAACACCTCCTCCTCTTATTCCTCCTCTGTGTTTTCCACATTCTCCTTGACCACTTATACGCATTACCGGGGTTGGGAGGGTTACTTATAAAAATGTATTCTGTTACAATTAAAGGGCCCATGTCATGCTTTTCCGGTTATTACCCGTCCCCTTGTGTGTTATGAAGGTTTTTATGCATGTAAACGGTCTGCAGAGTCACAAACCCTCAAAGTACACCCTGTAGCAAGTAGGGCTGTGCAATTAATCGTATTTTAATCGCAATTACGATTTTGGCCTGCCACAATTACGAAAACAACATAATCGAAAAAAACGATTATTTTGCTTTGCTAGGTTGTGACAGTGCACTGCAACATACTTGATCTAATTTATTTGTATTTATCATATTTATATATGTTTAGTAGCTTGTTGAAGTGCGCTCCAAAATATTTGTTGATCTTGTTTATTGGTATTTATTATTTTGATATTATTTATTTAAATGTAAATATAAATGTATCATTTATTTTATTTATTTTTGTATTGGTTTTTCAGTTGAATTATACGCTCAGGGAAATCAACAGTTAAAAAGATACTGTTCAAATTATTATTTGTATTTAAAAGTTCAATAAATGGATGTTTTCAAAGTCAATGAATAATCGTATTTAATAATCGTGATATCAATTATTGACCAAAATAATCGTGATTATGATTTTTGCCATAATCGCACAGCCCTAGTAGCAAGTAAAACTCTAACACAGAAAAGACCTGTCTATGCTGCCCCTGAACGCCTCGTTGGAGATTTCTCATTCTCCATTGTTTGCTTCCTGGGTTCTGTGACGTGTGAACACCCAAATTAACAACAAATGACCGGATTGGCCCAAATGGACCAATCCGCGGAGCACCTCACACACCAGGATCCCTTGGCTAACTAACAGGGAGTCCCTGAACGCTGGTAATAGACAAGTTGGGATCGCGGAGAAATGCTCTACCCATTCTCACAGCGTTATAAACCTTTTTCTTACTCAATATCAAGCCACACTTATTGTTTTTACTTAGGCTGTGAGTGTTTGTGTGTGCTCGGGATGAGTTTCGCTTGTTCTCGCTGTATCGCCGACCCGGAAGCCTGTCCGCTCCTCGCAGCAACGAGCCTCGCAACGTCCCGACCAATCAGAGCACACTGGGCTCACACGGAGGGGGGGGGGGGGCAGGAGCTCCAACAAGCCGTTTAGGACAGAGTGAATACCTGGCAGGGGCGGACTGGCCATTGGGAATACCGGTCGAGTTTCCCGGGCTGATTTTTAGTCCCAATCCGCCCCTGATACCTGGTGAATACACATACTATACAGAGATGCTGTATCAGAAACCAATGTGATTTTGGAAAATTGCACAATTTAAATCTATTCTAGTAGACCTCAACAATGGAAATATGATCAGTAGAAATGGCCATGACATGGGACCTTTAATAGTTACTTGTAAAAGAAAGTAATCAGTAACGTAAACTGAGTATAACAATATAAAAGTAATGTAACCTGATTTAGATTTCCTCAATATCAAATGCAATCCAAATAAATACAAGTGAAAATAAATGTCACTAAGATGTTTTACCGAGGTGTATTATATAAGACAACAGAACAATGTGACCTTAGAAAAGAAGAAACCACCCCAAGCCTGCGCATTACACTGAAATGACCCCTCCTCACTTTCTTTTTCCTCATCATTTTGAATTGTTCAGACCATGTTTCCCTTGTTATAGTGCCATGGGCAGATTTTGTTTTCACATGCACTCTCTTGTATGCTCTTTTGGAAGATAGACAGCATTTTAAGGCTTTATCTGCTGCTTTTGTTCTTCCCAGATGCTAAATCTGTGCAGCTCACTGATAGCGCCTGAGTTCACCTCTCGCTGAGTTCAAGAGGATCAACGTGTTCTTAATTGACCTCTATGCAATCCCATAACAAGTCATTCTGACAGGCTATTTGGCTCAGACCAGAATCACTGTAGAATAAAGTGGGGGCATTTATAATGGGCCTGATGCCTTTTGTGTTCTGGATATGCCTGTGTTTTAGGAGAGGAAAATATATAAATATAATTAAATGTCCGATATATTTTGTAAGATTCAATCGATCATTTATTCTTTGCCTTTCAAAAGTCTGGTTGTAGGAGTAAGTAGGCCTATTGCTTTCTCTTGTCTTTTTTTACAACTGGTGGGTGTTGTTCTGGAATAAAACTCTTTGGCTCAGGCGCTCATATGTAAAAATCAAAGCACAAGTAAGTTGCTGTGTTTGGTCCAAACACAATCGAGCAACAAGAATCACTAAACTTGCCACAGCTCCATCACATTATGCAATGAAAAACGATGCTGGTTGCCAAGCGGCTATTGCACGGATCATACGGACAGGCCGTGGTTGTGTGATGTGTGATTGGAGGGAGTTGAAGTGACTCACAGTTCTGCCACTTACACTGCTGTCGATGATTATGATAATTTGCGCACAGCACTCCACAAGCAGCTTTATGAAGCAGCATTTATCATCCCAGATTCACTCTCTGACTTCCCTTACTCTCCACATTCCCCATCTTTCTCTTCCTGTCTGACTTCCCTCTCTCCCCTTTCCCTGTCTCCATGTTTTTCTTTCTTTCCCAGTCTTGGCTAATCACACACAGGAGGGGTGCTGCTGCTGAATTTTTATATTCATTTATACAGCAAGCCTTTGATGTCCCCCATCACCCCCTCAGTGCAGTGTAAGCACTTCTCTATCTCCTGCTCTGCCAGCACCAGCACTGCCAGCCCAGAATATCTCCCTCTGCACCCTGCACTTTGTGTGTGTGTGTGTGTGTGTGTGTGTGTGTGTGTGTGTGTGTGTGTGTGTGTGTGTGTGTGTGTGTGTGTGTGTGTGTGTGTGTGTGTGTGTGTGTGTGTGTGTGTGTGTGTGTGTGTGTGTGTGTGTGTGTGTGTGTGTGTGTGTGTGTGTGTACTGACTGTAGATATTACCCAAAAAGCCCCAACAATGCTGAAATATACAAGGGCATGTTAAGAGCATACCGAGGAGTCGAAGGGTAAATGGACAAAGAGTGAAGGCGGTGCATTACTGACAGATGAGTTAATGGTCAAAAAACAAAGATGACTTTTATATAATCCCCAACAATATACAGTGGGGTGAATCCTAACTCTGTTATGAGCATCATCCAGGGGTCAATAAGGAATGAACTCATCTTAAACCACAATGGAGTTTTGATCCAAGCCACAGAGGCACACTTACAATCAGATGTATGATTCCACCACTTCTGTTTCATAGTCTGCTCATGTTTATATATATGCACATGCATTATGTGTGTCTGTGTGGAAACTGTAGTTCAGTGGGGTGTGTCTTTCTTGGTTAACCGTGGCCTACTGTCTATATTTAGCATTAAACCCTCTCCTTTCCCCTTCTGTGCTCCCCTGTGTGACCCTCGCTCAGTGCTGCAAGCATTTCCATATCAGAGCACGGAGAGACGGAGCTGACTTACAGGAAGTGAAAGACAGAGAGTTTATGTGAGCTGTTTGAGTTTAATGTATTGGTTTACAAGTACGACAATGTACGAGTGGAAGAGTAGACTTTAAGGGTTATGCGGGAACTCTGCTTTAGGTTGACAGCAGCTTGTTATCCAGGTGTAGACAATGTGTATATGTAGTAGTCTTTTGGCAGCCTCTCTTTCTGTGGCGTAACGATGGAGGATGGCGAGTTGGTCATTCGTGTGCCAGGGCGGTCTGAGTCCCCCGTGGGCAGCAGGAGTTGCGCTGCTGGCCGTGGGTTTGGGGAGACGTTAGTGTTGCAGCACAAAGAGGTTCACCACTTCTTCTTCGTCCCCTTCAGGGAGCAGCCCATCTACAGCACGAGGGCCCACGTCTTCCAGATTGACCCCAACACCAAGAAGAACTGGCTGCCCACCAGCAAGCACGCCGTCACCGTCTCGTACTTCTACGACAGTACGCGCAATGTCTACCGCATCATCAGCCTGGATGGCACCAAGGTGAGGGGTTGTGACTGAATGCCTAACACACTTTGTCACACACACAACTCTTGATACCTCCCAGACTGCATCCATTGTTAATTTTAATTTCTGCCAGCTGACATGTTTTATTAAGACGTCAAACAGTCTTCCAGGAGATTTTAGTGCCACTATGATCTACCGAGTGTTAATGATGTTATAAGCTCTGCACTGCGATTTAATGTTCAGACACATCTTAAAAGAGCTCGATGTGGCAGACTGTCTCAAGGATGACAGCTCATGTTTCATTGTGTGTTTGCATGCAACTACCGTATTTGTGTGTGTCCGTCTGCACACTTTAAGTCTCAGGATATTCTTGTTAGACATCCAGAAGGGATATTTCTGCCGGGCATGGTCTGATTTATAGGGAGGGACCAGTCACCAACATGCACACTCCCCGCCAATTATGGACAGAGGAGGGGGGAAGTTTAATGAGAGAAACAGATGACATACTGAGAAGAATTGGAGGTAGAAAAATAACCAGAGCGGCAAAGACGGAAAAGTGTGAATCCATTGACCAGGGGCAGCAAAGCCATGTCCCAGAGTTCAGATTTAATGATCTCAAATCAGGTGTGGGAACCTCTGCTGATGGTGAAATGAGAAAAAATCATGCATGTAGAAATCACAGCCCTCACACACACACACACACACACACACACACACACACACACACACACACACACACACACACACACACACACACACACACACACACACACACACACACACACACACAATGAGTGACTCCTGCCCCTTTTAACTCGTCATTATGTATTGATGCCAACCGCGACACAACTCTGCTAATTGGTCATCCATTCATTTGTTTTCCATAACAGTTATTTAACAATGGAGGTTAAATAAGATCTAGCCTTCTATTAAGACAGACAGACAGACAGACAGACAGACAGACAGACAGACAGACAGACAGACAGACAGACAGACAGACAGACAGACAGACAGACAGACAGACAGACAGACAGACAGACAGACAGACAGACAGACAATGTCACTGAAAAAGCAAATAATTTTTGCCAGCGGCTTTGGTGCACTAGTAATGATTTCTGGCAGTTGGAGGGTGTATGTATTGACTCATATTAACCTACCCAATTTGATCATTATGGTTATGATATAAATAGTTTTCGAACAACAACACTGGTCTATAGCACACAGAAATGTTATTCTCGGTTTTGGTCTTTTCATGCTTTTAATTGACAAAAAGAAACATTTAAAATATAGCCAGACTCACCCTTTAACTTAAATCTTTAAGTTTGTCAGCATTTACCAACTTTCAGACTCTGTGGTTTACGTTTTTTCGATTAACACACTTTCCCAGTTTCTCACCATAAGATCAATCACTTTTGCTTTTGTATTGCACTTTCAACTACTGGTGGACCACTGAATCCTTGGTTTTTTAAGTGCAATGCAGCAGCACCCTGTTAGCAGTCATTTGTAAAAGACATTTTCCAAATTCCCCAGAAGCCTAAGGTGATGACTTGAAAGACGTTGTTTAATCAAACACATTCAACTTACGATTACATAAATCTGAAAAAATCCTTATATTTGAGAAGCTTAAAGATTGTTCCTTGTTAAATAACTGACTTTTTTCATTTTTCATTTCTATCAATCGATTAATTGGCTAATTGCTCTGGCACTACTTCAATACTGTTTGAAACGTCTGAGAGACCCACGTTTAAGGCATTAATACCAACTGCTTCAGCTTTTGATGTGTACATTTTGTGTTCAAACTAAATAATGTCTCATTGCTGTTGTCATATATATTCCTAAATTGTAATGTGAATAATCTTCCTCATTCAGAAATTGAAAAAAAGCACATACAAATTCTCCTCAACACCACTATCTGTCTTACACACACATATGAAAATACACTGTGGTAATAACATTAATGTAATGAGTATTAAGTGGGTTGCTTCTATCCTGCAGGCAATAATCAACAGCACCATCAGTCCCAACATGACGTTCACAAAGACCTCACAGAAGTTTGGCCAGTGGGCGGACAGTCGAGCCAACACGGTGTACGGCCTGGGATTCTCCACCGAGCATCATCTAGCCAAGGTATCACCCCCATTCCTCTGCCCACACACACACACACACACACACACACACACACACACACACACACACACACACACACACACACACACACACACACACACACACACACACACACACACACACACACACACAGTATCCACTATAAACCTTTTAGCATCAATCTCAGGGCGGCTTCTCTTCTCTCGCGGACCCCAAGAGTGGATGGTATTTCTAATTTATTTTGCTCTAACTGCTATAGCTTCCTTAAAAGTGTAGAATCTTCTTAGCAGTAAGCCCTAATGAGGCTTTTTCTGTGTGTTTATGAAAGTTATGTATATCTGTGTTAACTGTGTGTGTGTGTTTGAGTAGGTAGTGAATTTTTGCTCCTCTGCAGTATGATTCAGCTCCATCGGGAACAGGGGCGGCTCACAGTCCTTAGTTACATGACTGCAACTAAGGACTGCAAGGACTGCAACCAAGGACTATTTTTATTGTAGATTATTTTATATATTATATTTGTTTTATGAAATGACATACTCAAGTATCTTGTATCGTCCACAAGATATTAAATTTACTGTCAAAGTGAAGTAAAGAAACTGGAAAATAATCTCATTGAAGAAGCAGATAACTTTGCCATCCTTTTAACCACTATTGTTAATACTTACAATAATATTCTATTCTCTTAATCTAATTTACAATTTGTGAAGTATTAACAGTAACATGATACATTTTATTTATTTAAAGCTCTGTAAATTCTCAATCAAACATTATTGTCAATAATCAAAGATAATAAATCATGAAAGTAAAAAAAGTTACATTTCCAAAAATAGTTGTTCATTTTCCCAACTTCTTGGAGACAAGTATGGTTTTATTGATTTACAGTTGATGTTACACCTTGAGAGAAATGTGTCTGAAGAGCAGTTTTAACAGACACTCACCAGACAATTAGAAGTACTTTCTGCGGCCTGAAGTAAAAATAATCAGATTCTCCTCTCAGATAACTGCGTTGCCAACACTCCTGTAGCACTTACACTGAGAACTGCATTTAGATCGCTGTAGCAGAACTATTATATTGCACCGAAGTGAAATGATATTAAGTTACTCATTGCAACTCCACCAGTCGTCAATTTGATTTCCTCTCCACTCTCTGCAGTACAGAATATAAAATAATACTCTGTAGGAGTACTGTCGGGGAATCACCACACCCTAAAGCGACATAGGGGATATGTATCTGTGTGTTTGTGCGCCAGGGTGTTTATATTTGTTCAAATCCCCTCAGAGCTGAGCTCACCTTACTGCTTTGGGCTCGATGAATGTATCCTTGCTCTCGACTAAAATAACCCTGGAGATCAAATTCAGACACTGACCACTTCTGATTAAACACAAAAACTCTACAGGAAAACACAATGACACAGTCTACTTTGATCTGTGTGTGTGTGTGTGTGTGTGTGTGTGTGTGTGTGTGTGTGTGTGTGTGTGTGTGTGTGTGTGTGTGTGTGTGTGTGTGTGTGTGTGTGTGGTGTGTGTGTGTGTGTGTGTGTGTGTGTGTGTGTGTGTGTGTGTGTGTGTGTGTGTGTGTGTGTGTGTGTGTGTGTGTGTGTGTGTGTGTAGAGGTCCATATAGAGAGGTTACTAACTGTGACCTAAATAGCTCATGTTTCGACTGAGGCATTGTGGGTAAGGGCCTTCTTTTCTAAGTTCAACTGTCGGTTGTTATTGGCAACGCCTCTGCCCTTCCCTCCTCTGGCTTCACGGCTGACCTATTACACACTGATCTCTGTCTCTCTCTATGTGTGTGTGTGTGTGTGTGTGTGTGTGTGTGTGTGTGTGTGTGTGTGTGTGTGTGTGTGTGTGTGTGTGTGTGTGTGTGTGTGTGTGTGTGTGTGTGTGTGTGTGTGTGTGTGTGTGTGTGTGTGTGTGTGTGTGTGTGTGTGTGTGTGTGTGTGTGTGTGTGTGTGTGTGTGTGTGTGTGTGTGAGAACATATGGCTTTACTGAACAGATTAAACCACAGTATAGTATAATTACTGTCCATACTGATGGCCGTCCTCTGTGTCCAGTTTGCAGAGAAGTTCGGGGAGTATAAAGAAGCGGCGCGGCTCGCTAAAGAGAAGAGTCAAGAGAAGATGGATATGGCCATGTCTCCCTCTCAGGTACGATCAGCACACACACTTTCCAAACTCGCCCCCCCCACACAAGTCTTAACCTTTCTGTGAGCCGACTCATGACCTCCTGCCACGGCATGCTGTGTGTGATGATGAGCAGCTGGTGAACAGGTCAACAAAGAACGATTGTGTTTATTTGTTGTTGTTTAGTTTGAATAACTACAGGTTGAAGTTATAGAACCAAATTTAGAAAACAAATAAAAATATTTGAGAGGAACGAGATGCCCAAATATGTTCAAGTAGAATTGTTTTTTAAAGGGGACCTATCCTGCAAAATCCACTTTTGTACGTCTTTACATGAATATGTGTCCCCGGTGTTCCAGGGAACTCACCAAGTGTCAGAAAACACAACCCTCTCTCTTTTCCTCCATACCCAAATCTCTAAAAACGGGGCTGCAACGGAGCTGATACAGATTTGAAATTGTTCTGACGTCAGTTAAGGGGTGCTCCGCCTATATGGGCAACTCTCCACCTATCAGGGGAATGGGGGGTTGGGCCACGGCCACGGCCATTGCCGCTCGAAAGCGCTGGAGACGCTGTAGTACATATGCCAGGCCTGTAAGTGGCGCTGTAGTCTGCCACAAAAGCAGCGAAGAAGACTTCTCACAGAATCAGCCCTTGGGCTGGAAAAGAGCAAATAGAGCGAAATGAGGCATGGCTAAAATGCATGATCTGTTTGGTATTTTGAAAAAAAAACTTCACAGACATGTTTTATATAGGTATGGCCCTACAATATATTATTCAAATATAGCATGATAGGTCCACTTTAAGTTGACACTTGATGAATGAAGAGTGTTCAAATCCTTAAGTAACCTATGCACAAGTCCTTCCTCTGAAATCTTCCTTCCTCTCAAGTTATAGTACAGTATTGTCAATACAATGTACTTAAAGTATCAAAAGTGGAAATATTTGTTCCACAGAAAAGTGGGAAGTCCTGTGACTGATATCTTATGCATCAATGTGTACACACACGTGTCACATATTTCCATTGTAACTGGTCAAGGGCGATAGTTTTGCTGCAAACATTTGTGTTAGTGATTTTTACGAGTCCTTGCTTTTTGGTGAAATAATAGATTATTTTACGGGTAAGGACATGAGAAGGGTAAATGTGTTTTTGGTGGAACTGCTAAAACCTCATAGACATCTGAAAAAAAAACAGGTCCCAACCAGAAACTGCTTTTTTGTAAAGGTACACACAAACATAAACACTGAAGCCAAAGAATAACCAATATCTACTTTTGTCAAATAAATGTTAAATTCACACTATTTCTTAAATGTAAAAAGTAGCATAAAAGTGTCTCAAAATTGTGATTGAATGCAGTACTATGCAGTAAATTGACGTTACCTTCCACCTCCACTTCTCCATAGATATATTATATACACCAATATGGTATTTTCTCTTAAACATTAAAAGAGCATCAAAAGAAAATGTTGTCCGTGGACTCCCCTTCAATTTGGAGAGTATAATTAGCCTGTATGTTGGGTATTTGTTGTGTGAGATATCTAATAATGCTAGGTTTAAGGGCATGTGTGACTGCATCTTAGAGAAAATGATCTTGTTTCTGGGAAGAATCCCCAGAGAAATCTGTTCTTTAAAATAAAGGGTCTTAGCAGGCTTCATGTCCTTGGCTGTTCATTATGGAGGCTCGGGGAGCGGCCCCCCTGTTGTTCTGCGCTCTATTACTCGTACAATGAATGCTGCGGCCCCCGTGTGCAGAAATGCTACAGTCCCTTCTGCTTCCCATGGGGGACGTTTTTTAATGAAGCCAAGTGGACAGCTGCACTCTCATCAGGGGTTGAAGGCTGCATGTGCGTGCCCCCCCCCCCCCCCCCCTCCACACTGTAGAGGCTGCGGCCTGCAGAGCTGCCTCTACCCAAGCTGCTCTGTTTCACTGCTGAAAATCACTGTTTCAGCCCTTACTCTTTCTCTGTTCTCTCCTTTCAATCAGTGATTAACAACCACCAGTGTGCCGTGAGAGATCGTCAGGTGTGCCGTGGGAAATTGTCCAACTTCACTTAATCGCTCCAAAAGATATGATTTAGTTGCTGCCAATACAATCCAACAATGCCATGGTTCCAAGCACGCTTAAACGTCCTCTCCAAACGAAACACAAATCACTTAAAACAAGAACATGGTCTATTTTGTCGTCTGCTTTAACAAACTGAGAAACGGGTCACTTTAATGAGAAAAAACACAAAGAGAGAGCTCTCAAAACTAGCTACAAATTGAGAGACTTGTCATTAAAGGATCATTGTATATATGCTGTATAAGACTACAATGTGTCTTTTTTTTATGTAAAAAAAAGGTGAAAAACACTGCTCTAAATAAACTGGAAAACAGGAGAGAGGAATTCTACTAAAACAAGATGAGAAAAACAAAGAGCTCAATGCTATATGCTGGTCCCAATAGGCCAGACCCCAGTAGACGAGCATCAAGAAGAGATACAAAATGGTATATTAATGAATGTGCATCGCAAAATGTAACGCTAGTCATAATCTCCCTGTTATCTCTCACTTCCTTCTCCTCCATTAGTGACGTACAGGCGGTGCCATTGTGCCGCTGCATTGTGCCCAAGCCCTGAGTCTTAATAGCTTTGTTTTATGTACGAGCAGCAGCTAAATGATTTGTCCCTCGTATAATTCTGTGGTTGTATGGGATATAAAGATAAGCTTTAATCTGTAATTCTGCCATGTCCCAGTGCTATAGTAAGCTATTTAATGGCCTATAGGGACGTAGGACTGTTCACTAGGACGCAGCAAGAGCTTTCAGAGTGAGAGGCAGCACCTCCACTTCCATCACCCCTAAACACACACACACACACACACGCACACACGCACGCACGCACGCATGCACGCACACACACACACACACACACACACACACACACACACACACACACACACACACACACCTCCATCATGTAAACTCCTTATAGGAAAAGGGTAAATGCATGAGGCTTTTTATCTAGTCGGCATCTCTTGTAATAACAAGTTGTCAAAATCTCTCACGTTAATTATAATTCATTTTATTTTACTGTATATAAATTCATCATAATGAATCACTTTCAGTAAGTGTTGTAGGACTGAAATGAGTAGTAGTAAAATAATTGCTAACGGTTTTGATACATTGTTTAATTGTAGTCATTTATCAAGGTTGATAATCTGTTATTATTTAAATCAATGTTAATTAATTCTCTCAAAGATAATCATTTCACTATATTACTATTTATTTTGAGCATTTGTGCTGACAAAAAAAGAAATGTACCTGGGACTGTGGTGGGGACATTTTATGAATATAACTGAATTAATTGATAATAGAAAATAATTGTAGAAAATCAATGAAAATTGTTGTAAATTGCAGCCTTAAAAAGATTCTCTATTTTAGCACATGATGGCTTGTGATAGCAGAAAACAACCAGATACCATTAAAAACTTAAAACGTAGAAAATCTGGCTGTTTTTTCGACCTAAGAAAATTAGAAATTGAAACGAAAATAGGAGGCATCATACAAATGTCCATTTATAGGGAAATTTCTCAAAAAGCAATTTGGTCAGTTTTTTTAAGGATTTTTGTTATGTGCCTCATCTTAACTGTGAAATATACACTTATTAAAAACATTTAATAGTGTTTGATTGATTATTCGATGTCTAACTAGCAGTCATAGTTATATACCTTTATTTTTTCATGTAGGAGTCTCCAGGAGGCGAGCTCTCGTCACCTTTGACCCCGGTGACCCCGCCCATGGAAACCATCAACGGCACAGATGACCTCTGCGATTCGACTCCAAACTTAGACTCCCGTCCAGAGCCGTCTCAGAACGCCCTGGCCTTCGCACACAGGTACACCCCACAGCGTGATGTGTTCACTGTCCCGTGTTGTCATGTTTACCACAACACAAACTTAACAGTCTGACCACACATTCACTGTCACAGAATACATACACTCAAACAATACTAAAATAGATGAATTATTCAGATTTTTTCTCTGTTACTCTATTTGTCTGAAACACTGAAGTTGTACCTGACTTCTTCTACGTCTGCGTGCGCCTATATATGTTGCATGTCAGCATGGTAGTGAACTTCCTCTATTCATGCTGCTCTCTCGTGTTTTTCCTCTCTAGGGAGCAGTTTAAGACTTGTCGGGTCTGCTCTTTCTGATAGGGATGTCATTACAAGTCCTGACTACTGCGACACCATAACTACGCATTTAAAAATAAAATTCAGGCACAAACTTTCCCAAAAGTTAGAGCCTGGTGCAGGTCAGCAACAGGGAGGGTCCTCTTTACAAATCCTGGTGCTCTGCTTGTTTACTAACTGCTAACTAATAAGGTAAAGCAGCACGACATCACTCCAGTCGGGAGGTATAATGGTGCAATGAATTATATCAGTGACAATCTGACTCACACGCTGTCACTTCACATGGACCAGCAAGAGATGTTACTTTAACCAATCTGAGCATGCTTGGTACAGAAACGTACATATATCTATAGTTCTGTGTTTGCCTACTGCAATGCAATAATATCTTTTAAAATTAAAATCTGTTATGTTTGGTGCATTACGGACTATGTGACGGTGTCACCTCTATGCATGCAGCACTACTGTTACACTGTATACATTCCTGATGTTTTTGTGTCCTGTTAGCAGACTGAATATTGAAATGGACAATTTATATTTGTTGTGATTGTTAATACTGGTTTATATACAATAGATTATGTAAGACAAAGCGGTCACAGTTCCATGTAAATATGTTTGATTTGTATAATGGCTTCCTGAAGAGGTGCGGCTGTGAGGTTCACCAAAAAGGTGTTGATGAAGCGTTTATGTAAGACTTATATAACATTCTGTGGGTAGTGGGAGGCAGAGAAAGAGCAAGACAGACAGACACACAGAGAGTGTGTTTGTCAGAAGCTGGAGAGAGAGAGAGGCGCATTGTATAAAGTCTGTGCATGAGTCACTGATACATAAGCACCCACCAACTGCAAACACACTCAATAAACTGAACAGGAGGGCATGCACGATGAGTTTGAACCATTTGAGTGAGTGAAGTGTTTCTTTCTCAGGAGAGAAAATATCCCTGTTTTCTACTGTCAACTGTAGTCGACTGTACACGGGTCTTTTCATTTGTAAAATCTCTGTAATCCTGTGCCACTCGTTTCATTATTTCTCTGGCTGCGATTCCTATTAATTAAAGATATCAATCAATCGCTTAATGTATTATCGTTCTTTTTTTTTGCTTGGCGATGGGTGTCTGAGAGGAGGCTTAACACATCTTTTTGACATTGAGATATCACTACAGGGATCTAAAGAGACACAGGTTTTTTTGTATTAGTGTGTTTAAGTCTGTAAAGCTGTGACAAGCTCAAGTGCAAATGCTTAGAAATCCCTACCGCTACATCATGAACTCTGTGAGGCTACACAGATCTGAGTGTGCAGTGAGAGCGTAGAGAGGACACCCACTGCCTGCTGCAGCCCTGCTGATGTTTCTATTAATGCTGCATGCGTGGGAGACCGGGTCGACTCCCAGCATTCACCATGGCAAGCATGGACTTAACAAGCAAACCTCAGTCTCACATTTCTCAGAGGCATATGCAGATAGGGTTGATGTTAGGACCGTCCATGATTTGACCACATAACCCTCTATTTTTCAGTATTCTCTATTATTAATATTTATTTTATTTAATATCATCTCACTTGTCTTAACACCTTTTAAATCAGCCTCTCATTTGCCTCAAGCTGCGGTTAATTCCTTTAATTTTGAAACAGTGTATGCACTTATAGTTAATTTAGGAGCCCAAAGAAAAGAATCATTATATTTGAAATGTAACTTTATTACTTTATGAGGGTTCAGACATACATATAAAACACACCTGCACTTTGCGGTCGTTTTTTTTTCTTGGTTTGTCATGTGACAAGAATTAGATGATGACTTATCTCCATAACATATACACCCCGCTGCTGCATAGCGGGGATGTGTAGGAGGGTTTGTAGGGGCGCATAGGGCAGAGGAAGAGAGAGTAGGATGAGATGTAGCTGTTTGCATGGTTGTGAGAGGGTTTTTTATATCGCAGGATGTAGGCGTGGAGTCGAGTTGAATGGGCTTCTGAATATTGGAAGAGCTTTAGTTGGGACTGCCTTGGCTGTATGGGCATGGTCTCCTCATGTTGGAGGGTGTAGGCGTCTTTCGGTGGGTTTTTGTGGTAGGCTTTTGTGAGATGGAGCCGATGTCATACGTCAGGTTGCCACGAGCGCCTCCGTTCCTCCAGTGCTGCCATGGCAACCGCTCTGGCTCCCTTCTTCTTGAAGTGCTCTGTGGGGAGGAAGAACCTACCTGACGACGCACCGCAGTCAGGACACAGCAGACACAGGAGAGGGAGAAGGAGAAACTGAGTTTATGTTTTGTGCCTGGCAGCTTTATTGAGCCTGGGAGGAGAATTATACCAACTTTGTGAAAGAGTAAACCACAAAACAGTGTGCTGATGTTTTATTGAGGTCATGAGGGGATATGCATTGTGTACAACAACAAAAAACATTCAAAATTCCAAAGAAATTAAGTTTAAAACAACAATTTAAAGAATAAAACAGTATAAAATGTGATACAAAAATACAAAAATTGCACCACAAAATGTTTCCTCTGGTGTTTCTTGTCTAAATTGAAATATTGTTCACATGGAAAAGATGAAAAACAGATCAAAATAAAACTCTGTAACACTGATGCAATCTTCTCTACAATATACAAAAGAGTCTGTGATTTTTTTATGATTTTATTAAATTATTGTTCAAAAACTGGCTTACAATTTTAAGTACAGTATATACAAACAGGAGAAAAAAAGCTTCAGTTTAAAATTACAATGGTCCCATGCATGACAAAAAATTGAATTATAACACAATTACATTATGATAAGCAACTGGAAAATATCATTAGCTACTAAAATAATCATGATGTAAATACACACATCATCTCCGTTGACACAGTCACCGCTAACTTACCCTCCATGTGTCTCTCACACCTCCAGATCTGCTCTGCTGTCCTCAGCCAGATTTCTGCTCCCCCCTTCAGACTTATTTAATGAAGACGAACACCAGTGTCAAAACATCTTGCACTCTTTTCTCTGCTCTTCTGTCCCTCCATCGCTCTCCCTTGCTCTCTCCGTCTGTCTCCATCTTCACTTCTTGACGTCTCTCCTGCTCTCCTGCTCTGCGAGCTGCTGTGTGGGGTTTATACATCGGCAGGGTTTGTGTGCCTTGGTGACAGCATCACTCCATGTGTGTGTGAGTGGTTGTGTGTCAGTTGATATGTGCATGTGTAGGATGAAGTGTCGTCTCCCTCCTATGCGTCACACACGCAGACACACTCACAGAGGGGGTGGCTGTTGTGTAAGAAGGCGCCGTGGGAGTCCTGCGTGAATATGATCTGGGTTTTCTCTCTTTTACATTTCAAAGAGTGGGTGTAATGGCATAGTGGAGTACTGCTGCAGTGTGAGCTTATATATGTGTGTGTGTGCAAGTGAGGGGGCAGAACAAAACTGAAAACAACATTGTTACGGGTCACTCACAGAACCTCATCACTCCTTGAGCGAGCTTAGCTTCCTTTTGTGCTTTTCTGTGTTTCCACCGCTGGGAGGAATTACTGTGAAGTATGTGGGCGTAGGAGCTCCTTTTCAAAGGTACTTGACTTGATGTCGGTACTCGACAACGGTTAGGTCTCTCATACATTCTCCCGCGCAAGCCGGACATTATGTGAGAGACAGAGAGTGGGCATTATGTAAAACTCAAATGAATGCCTGCAGTGCTCATATACAGATAGGAGATATACAGCGGAAGTGTTTTCCCTCCACAAAGTTGACTTCCTACATACATCTTATATTACACTTTCATTCTGAACTATCAACTATCCTGACCCTCCACCAGCCTGTTTCTCCCTCACACCCATTAGCAATTGAATCGCTTCTCCCTTATCGCTCATCTCATCTTCTCATCTGTGAGTAGCTGGACCAGATTAGGCTCCAGCCAGCAAGAGGATATAATCCTGGATTACAACTCATGTTGCAGACAGCTGGTTTCACAGCTTCATGTCAGGAAGTGACAAGCTCCAGTTTGAGTGCTCACTGAAGCCTTTGTCAGCTTTCATGATTGGATGCATGGAAACAAGTAGGAGTTTTTAAAAGGGCTCCATCAGGACAAGCCCAGTGTCCAGAGGGCATTTGGCTTCACCTGCAAAATGTCAATCAAAGAGACACAAATTGACTTCAAATGACTACAAAGAAACTCAAAAACCTACAAAAAATAGACGCAAAATAACCAACATCATAAAAATAAAGAGACTCAAAATATGACTCAAAATGACCAGAAAAAGACAAAAAATGTCTTAAAATAACAACTAGGAGACACATATAGACCCAAATTGGTCAGTCTGTAGGGGATTGGACTTTGGACCGAAGGGTCGCCGGTTCACGTCCCGATCGGACCAAAAATACGGAGTGTGGACTGGTACTGGAGAGGAGCCAGTTCACCTCCTGGGCCACTGCCGAAGTGCCCTTGAGCAAGGCACCTAACCCCCAACTGCTCACTGGCGCCGGCTAGACTGGCCTCCTCCGCTCTGACCTCTCAACTGCATGTGCATGTGTGCATATAACTGTGTGTGTATTTGTATATGTATGTGCATGATGTAAAAAGTGTGTACTGTGTGTACTGTATGTACCTGTATAAAAACGCATGTGTGTGTACGACAGAGTGGAAACTGAATTTCGATTAATAAACGTCCATCTTCTATCTTCTTCTTCTAAATTAGACCACTAAGAAACTCAAAAGCTTTCAAGAGAATCAAAATGATCAAAAACATATCCATATAGAGACTCAAACAACCACACAGTGAAACGAAACAAACTCGAAGAGACAATAAGCAACCATAGCAAGACTCAGAAGACCACAAAGAGACCCACAAACTGGAGGTCTTGATCCTATAAATGTATAAATGCTCGCTTACAAACAATATTGATTCTGATTTGTTGTGAACAAATACAGATTCAGTGCTTGCTTGATTTTGAAGAATCTGCCATTGTGAGTTTTTAGACGGACACATCTTACATTTATAGCATGACAACAAAAACCATTTGATGTGCCGTCATTGTAAAGTGACAGTCTGAACATCCCTTTGTTCTGCAGCCCCGTCATGACAAAACACTGGGAGGCTGAGCTGGAGGCACTAAAGGGAAACAATGCCAAGCTAACGGCAGCTCTTCTGGAGTCCACAGCCAACGTCAAACAGTGGAAACAACAACTGGCTGCCTACCAGGAGGAGGCCGAGAGACTACACAAACGGGTGAGGGACGGGGCAAAGAAATGCTCGCTGGCTTTTATTCATTCAACTCAGACAGGACAGATGATTGGGAAGGGATGATGTGGAGTAAGGATGAGAGATTATTGTTGAGTCCGTCTCTCACCATGGATCTTCATTTTAGTACCTCATCTTTTCCTTTTAGGTGACAGAGCTCGAGTGCCAGAGCAACCAAAGCCCAGTGATCAAATCCCAGAAGACTGAACTCAACCAAACCATAGAGGAGCTGGAGAACACGCTAAGGGATAAAGAAGAGGTGTGTATTTGTGTGGGGAAGTCTATATGTCTATGTTCAATGCCCTATATGTATTCTGCAAAGCCTATAAATCTGTTTTTATGTCTTCCAGGAAATGGAAAGGTTGAAAGAGGAATTGGAAAACATGAATGACCTAATGGAGCAAAAAGACACCCTAACCCAGAAACTTGAGGTGAGTGATACAAAGATGATCACATGATTATCAACACGCCTACTTCAATCGTAGTAGTATTATTGACGGTGGTATAAGTATTCAGATCCTTTCAGATACTACCACCAAACTGTAAAAATACCCTGTTCTAAGTAAAAGTCCTGCATTTAAAAGGGTTACTTCAGAATATGTAAGTATGATCAGCCACATGTAGTTGAAGTATTGAATTTAAAAGAACCCAATGCAAAACAATCTTTAAAAAATTACAAACAATCCTCAAAATAAATTAAATAAATTAAAGATGTACTGAATCTTTTGATAGATGCCAATTTATTTTCTCCCAATCAGATATAAACTGTTTTGTGGTTTAATTTATAATAAAACAAATTTGTATCTCTTTTGTTTTTTTTAACATCTTAATGTGTTAAGTAATTAGAAGCCAAACCTGTACATACATTTAATGC